AAAAAAAAAAAACTGTATATTTTCAAAATTATCCTCTTGATTTTTGAAACAATATATTTGTAATTTGACTTAATTATTGTAAAATTTTGAAACTTATGGAAAAAAATTAAAGAGATGAATTTCGATTGATTTGAGATTCTTAGACCATTTTTAATTTCGTGCAAATTGAAACCTAAAAAAATAAATTATAAAGTTTTAAGGTAATTTTTTCAGCTATATGATTGTTTGGAATAAAAAACACAATTGAATTTTTTAAATCAAATATGAGAAAAGATTTTGAATTTCAAATTATATTCAATAATCAAAATTTTTAGAACTTAATGGAACCAAATCCACCAATTTATCTTTTCGGGATTTAAATGAACTGTAATATACTAAATGAACCAAATCCACTAAATAGATGAATTGTAATTTATTTTTAAAAAAGTAAATAAAAGCATTCAATTAAAACAATTGTAGTAGCCAAGTTGATGTTAAAAGAGTTTATGATTTTTTGAAATACCAACATAAGTTTATATTATTAAATTAGACGTAATTTATTTTTTTTAATAAAATAAAATTTGCAATGTGGTGCACGATTATATGTTAAAGAAAGTTTTTTTTTTATTTGTGAAAATGAAAAAAGAACAGCTTAATCTTGCGCAAAAATAAATAACAAACTCCACATTTAAATGTAATAATTAATTATGCACGTTTGTAAATAAAAATAAATTAAAAACTTGCTATTAATAGCATGCAATTAGTGTTCAATTATATTTGACCACAGTTTGCCTTGCCGGTTTTAAAAAATGGTAATTTTATATATATATATATATATATATATATATATATATATATATAGATGTGGCCAATTGGCTCGTTCCAACGGTTCTGGGCCCAACTTTCGATTTGGTCCCGTTTCGGCCCGTAGTATTATCTATATATATAATTCCTACCATATAACATTTAATAAAACATATTTAATAAAACTTCTAAATCTATTTTCGGTTACAAAACTTATCATTAATATATTTTTACTTCTCACACTAATACATCATATTGAGTGTAATCATTTGTGTTTTTTATTATATTATATAATAATTATTACTAATACCAACTAATAATAATTCACAATAAATATAAATGACATAATTATATACAATCGTTTCAAGTTATTTATTTTAACATCAATATTATTTTTTTCTTTTGTATCTCATGAAAAATTTTCTTTAAAAACAATTAGTAAATTGTTTTAATAGCATAGTCAAACAACTTTAAAATCTTATACACAACTGTTTTTTAATAATAACAACAACAACAACAACAACAACAACAACAACAACAACAACAATAATAATAATAATAATAATAATAATGATAATAATAATAAAATAATAATAATAATAATCAAACTGTTATTAGCTAGTGATAATAAACAATTGTTCACAATAATAAAATTATTAATTTATTTTTCCTAATGATCAAATTTTTGAAAACGTAATATGTTCGTCATCTAGAATTTTATCATTAAATTCTAAAATATTACTTATAATATTTTATGTGCGTCTGTGCACATGCACGTGATATCTACTAGTTTCTTTGGAAAATAGGTAGAACTAAAATTTGTATGTAATGAAGACGTTTTATACTCTATCGTTCCGGTTAAAAGAAAAAAAAGAAGACGTTTTATATGCCAAAATTTTTATTAAAAAAATGAGTTTTATTGTTTTATTAAAATAATTTAAACTAAACTGATATAAATGTTTTCAAATTAACTATAGATATAGTTTGTGCATTCCAATTTTTTTTTTTTATAAAGGTATCTTAATAAAAATTTAGCTAATTTGTTTTTTATTTGATTAATAGCAGACATAGTAATTTTTAATATTTGTTCACTTTTATCGATTTTTATGTAATATGTCTAAAAAAAAAAAAATGTTTCTGCAAGTCTTTCATTGCATTATAAGCTAAGTTTCAACGTTCATGTGTGAACCTATTAATTCAAATTAATAATATAATGATTATTAAATCACAAATTAGTCTTAAATAATTATTTGAATGGATGAAGTCAAATTCATGTATCTATTTGAACAATTATACCGATGTGGACAATATAAATTATATTGTAGCCTTCATTAATTGTTTGGACCATAAAGTTGTATCATAAATAGATTATTATAAAAATATGAGTAATGCTATAGGTATATAATAGTTTATATAGAAGTGTACATAACACTCACATTATGTGGGTCCCACCAAAATCAAAAAAATCAAGTGGACCCCACTCCTGTGAGTGTTATGTACATCTCTATGT